GGAAAGAGAGGGTGCAGCTTTTTAGAAAGCCTTGGTGCTGTATTCACTTGTAAGGAATGGTCTGTGCTGGCACTAAGTAGTACTTTTAGCTTATCATTCTGCCTTGTTTACTGACAATACTTGGACGTGGAATATAAAGCTATTTTATGCTAGAATCTGAGGTTCAAATGGCCCTTTTCTGATGCATAGGCAGGACTCTGTGTGCCATGCTCTTGCATAAATTACCATAGTATTATGGTAGCTTTCTTTAGGAGTATGCAGCCATAGCTTGCTCCAAACTTCCCAGTTTCCCCTTGTCTGTTCTTATCCCCGGAGCTGATACTTGGGCTCCACAAAGCACAAGCCATCCTGATTTGGTAGTGTGAAATCTTTGCTTTCAATTGACTTTAAAAGCAAGCTCCTTATTCTTTTGCAGGTGGGCAGAGCCCAGAAAGCATGAAACAGTGTAAGCCAGCAGCTTGGGATGAAAACAAGAAGCAGCCAGGCTCCAGTACTGGAGTGACAAGTTGTGGAAGGGCTTTTTTTTTTGAGTGGCCTGGCCTTTCACCAGCATGTTACATTTTATGTCATACAGGTCTACCATCCTTTACATACCATGTCTTGAGGCTCATCCTGTGCATAGTGATGAGGGAGAAGGTGGCAATTAATTAGTAACGTTTGGTGAGGGTGGGACAGAATTCTGTTGCCAGAGCTTGGCACAACTTGCTCAGTCCATCTCCGGCTGCTCCATCACCTGCAGGTCTTGTGTGGCAGGAGGGAAAGAAAGGGAGGGAAGGCTCCTTCTGCCTGAACTGAGGGAAGCTTTAAGAAACCAGAAGACAAATTGCTTCTCATTAAAGCCTGCGTGATTTATGGCATGTCATTTGCATGCCAAAACTTTCCTAAACAAAGCTAATTAGGGAGCTGAAAGAGCCTTTCCTCCAGAAACAAGCCTTTCTGCTCTAACCGTTAAATCGCTACAGTCAGATGTGATCGTTTATTACCACATTAAGAACCTCTTCTTGACACCCGTATCTCCATGCCATCCATAGAAGTGTCTGTTTCAAAAGATCCACCAACAGTCTTGTTATGTAGCAGGCGACTATGGGAGAAAAGTGTGGAGAATGGAGTGTTTTTCCCAGCCACACATCGCTGTCTGTTCCGCCACTACTGGTGGATGCCACCAGCCTTCTACAGTGCCAGGAAAGAGCCTTTCAAGAGGCAGTTTGTTTTAAATGTATGGTGCCAATCTAGCAAGGCCTGTAAACATGTGTGGCTCAAACATTACTTAGTCAAAAAGAAGACACATTGCGCATTTGTGTTCATCTTCTGACTGGTGATTTCTTCAGGACCATTCAGTGGGGCCATTCACTCATTTACTCAGCGTGCAGGACTGACTGAGTCCTCTGCTCATCCAGACACTGCAATAAGGTGTTTGACCCGAAGGAGGATAAGTTATGGCTAGTATGAGTTTGGTGTTGCTGCAGCTGGATTGCTGTCAGACCGAAGCAAGTCTGGCTGAAACTAGCTTGACTGTTTCTTCAGCACACATGGAGTCCTCTGGCTTCAGTGCAGACATGCTTCTATAATGCCTGTTTGTGGGAGATTGCACAGGTGAAGCTGCAGACATTTAATAAGTGGCCTTTGGTACTGGGTACACAGAATTCCTCCAAGCTGAACTCATCGTTCAGCTGGCATCGCAGCTGCCAGGAGAGCTAGTGGGGAGATAGAAGGGACTCACACAAACCAGAGAGAAAAAGATTGAGTATTTCTTGACTGAATCACTAAAAGCCACCATTTTCTTAGATGACAGGAAGCTGTTAAATAGGGGGGTTTTGTTACGGATCTTTCCAGTCAACTTCTATTGCTGTCCTGAAAAAGCAAGCCAGCCTTGGTTTGCATTTGCTCACCTGTGACAGCAGGCAAGCCTTGGGAAGTTCTCCAGAAACTGGCCTGCCAAGAGCCTGCAGGCATATGACGACTAGCTTGTCAGGTAGAGGAGCCAAAGCCAACATGAATCTAAATGATAAGGACCTATTAACTCCCACAGAAACATGAGCAAACACCTACCAAAGGCAAAATGAAACATGTACTCGCTGTATCACTGAATTTATAGAAAACCATGAGCCCAACAGCCTCCTGTTTTTTAAGACACTGTGAGTAGCTCTGAGGGCAGGATATTTTGTAGAAAACATAATTCAGTTTGCCAGATTGCTGTTGTGCTCCCAATCCGTTCATTTATGAGTCACCTGATAGTTCCTCCTGATATTCTTCAGTTGTTTTAGTACTTGCCAAACTAAGCTGCTTGTTGGCTGCCTAAAACATCCACCCAAATATAGCTTTGCTCATCTAAAATTGCCAGAGAGGGAAACCAGAACATCTGAGTTCCTTGATCAGCACTGCCCAATATTTTATGTCAGCCTTCTATGCCTGCCCAGCAGCTTCCCAGGACACACAGGGATTAGGATTTTAGATCTCTGAAAAGACAAAGGAGTAGTTGCTTTCCCAAGAATCTGTGTCTAGAGGTAACCTGTCAGTCCTCTGTCAAGCGTATCAGCCCAGTATCTCCCAATGGCTCTGCTCAAGTATATGACTTATTTAGTGCTGGTATCAGGGGATTATCTCTAAAAATAATAAATCGGACCCATTTTCACATATTAAATGTCAATCTTCTGTGTCAAGAGCTTCAGTCTCAAACCTCTTCTTTCTTTTCAAATAAGACTGATGTAGGAAATCTTTGGTGATTCTTTTGCAAGCAGTTTCTTTCTCCTTCCTCTGAAGAGACACAAATGAGCTTCAGCAATTGGAAGGTGACAAGATACTGCCCTTGACTGAGTTTTATTATAGGAAGGACTGTTTTAATGCCCAGAGAAATATATTTTCAGACCTCTAGAGTGTTCCTGCATCAGGAGGCTAGAGTGAGAAATATCTGTCACCCACAGAAAGTCCAAAATGCATGAGGCAACACTGGAAGCACACAGCTTCAGAACAGTATTACTTCAGACTCCAGACTTGTCATTTCTGTGTGCTTTCTGTTTAGAAACCAAAACTAAGGGGTGTTTTTACTTTGTGGGGAGTTTAATCACATCTAGAGACATTCTTTTTTTAAAGGAGATTTTTTTTTTAAGGTTTGTCTGACGCACACACTTCCCCACTCAAATTATTTCAGCTGCAGTGGAAAATCCTACTAACCAAGTGCTATTATTTTATAAATTGTGGTAGAAGGCATTAAGTTCTGCATACAGAAATCCCAATTCCAAGTGTAGGTGCTCACACAGCAGGTTTTCATGCACGGTGCGTGCTTCTTGCTTGGCCCACAGGGAAGAGGTTCAGCAGTCTGATCTCTCTTCATCTGCACAAAGTCAGGGGTAGTTTAGGCTGCTTTGAAAATTATGTGTGTTACCTCATGTAATTAGGGCATGAAGGCAGTGCAGTGTAGATGCAGTTGAGGTTGCTTTAGGCATGCAAACTTGGCTTGTGGTAGCAGTCTTACTAGAACAGCCTGGAATTTGGCATGGGAGGAAGAAGCCAAATGTTACTCTGGTTAAATATTGAGCCCATTTTGACCTCTTCGCTACAGCAGAACAGCTCCTACTAAGCAACAGGCACAATAAATCAAAAGCTACCTTTGATACACCAAACTTCACTGTAGCCCTAGCTGCTGCAACGCACAAAAATTGATCTTACCTGACTTGAACTGAAATTAGTCATCCAGTCAAATTATCTCAATAACCCAGAGACCAAGAGAAAGACCTGCAAACAGCATTGCACTTCCCTGTATTTACACATTCATCTTGAGATGGAATAGGTGGAGAGCTGCTCGGATGTGCTTATTTTTTCCAAGTCATCAGGAAGGGAAGATAGAGGTCTTATTGGGCACCTCATTTGAAGCTTGGCATGAATCTTCCTGCAACCTTAGCATGCACCTGGAAGTCAGCATGAGGTAGTTGGCTTGCTGCAAGTTCACTTTCTCGTTGCAAGTGACTTCCTTGCATTGACAAATCTTAATATTAAATTCTGAAACTTTCTGCTTGGGCAGACATATGCCTGAAATCAATAGCAGATTTGTATCTCTAGTCATGAATGTAGCAACTAGGATTTCTGGTAACACCAGTGTTGTGTATTTATTGTATGCATTTTTCTTTCAGACTGTTTGTCTTACACGGCGCTAGAAGTTCTATCAAAAAGGTGTTATGGGAAGCAGAGATGCAAAGTAATTGTCACTAGCCGGGATTTTGGAAGTCCATGCCTACCTGGAGTGACAAAATACCTTAATGTCAGCTATGCATGTGGTAAGAGCAAATGCAGCATCATTTTCAAGCCTTCATTCTGCTTGCAAAGCAAAACAATGCCAAGTGGTATACACACATGTATGGAGACAAAAATACACATGCCCACAGAGGCTTCATGAATTTCCCCTTCATTTTAAGTTTGTAACATAGCCATGTAGGAGCAACCAAAATGTGTGAAGAGTCCCGTGGGCAGAGCTGCATCTAATGTAAACTCTGGCATTAAGGTTTTATTTCCTATACAAATGCCATTCACAATAAAATACAAAGTATGTGTTTTAATATATTGAGAAATGCTGTCAAAATAAGAGTGTGTTCTACAGAAATTATCTGCAACAGAGCTAGGAAAGATTACCTGGCATTACCTGCCATCAGTGCAGGTAAAGCAGTCCAGCATAAATGAAGCACTGTGTGCAAGCCCAGTCCTGAAATCTGATTCACATGAGCACACCTACAGCCTTCAGCCTTGCAGAGAGATTTCCTTTCTCATGGGCAAAGTCTCACCAAAATAAAGGTTTGAGGTTATACATCCCTTGAAGGACTGAAGCCTGCTCCAGCTCATTTCTCAGGCAAGAGGGAACAGTTTTCCATATTCTTTACTGTAGACAAATATATTTCCCTCAGGAGGAGAAAGCAGAATTCCCCACAACTCTTTTTTTCTCAAAAGCAAAGGTTGTGGGACAGCAATAAAGGTGAGAGAAAAAGTGGTTTCAGATCTTTACTTTACTGCCTTCATTTGGTATTGCACATTTTTAGGAATGGCTGCTCATTTCTTAAGCTTCCAACAGATTTCCTCCACTTTTTGCTGCTGGTTAGCTGTGTGAGGGTCAGGGGGGATTGTCTCTGGCTTGCCTCTGCTTCAGCCAAAGGATGTGAAAAACCTTTTTCACCAAGTTACCACTCTGCTTACGGTGCACTGCTCAGAAAGCTGCCAGCCCTGCTTCTTTCTGGCTCTTTCAGGTCTGTGGGGAGTCACAGCAGTTGCTCCACGGGGACATATCATAGAGTCCTTTTGCTGCATCTCTAGTGAGTGGTGGTCAAAGGGCACAGGTTATCTGAGATGTGCTTTTGAGAGCACCAGTGTAGGATTGATTACCAGATCACCCTGCACCTGAAGATCAGAGGAAAACGAGCCCCTTCTGCTTCCCTGCTGACATGAGAAAATTTCTTTTTCAGTCTCCCCGTGTGTTAGGGGTCAGGTGAGAGGCATTGCAGAAATTCAGCTTTATAGTGTTGAAGAGGGCTGGAGATCTGCCTTTTGCACTGATGCTTCGTATTGTGCTGTTGCCTTCATGCTGTAGTAACTTTATGAATGAGTTAGTGGAATTCTCTTTAAGTAGAGTAAGGACAATTATATCAGATTGCTCTTTTTTTGCACATCTGTGTACTAGAAAACCAATGTGTATTCGCTTGCAGGGAGGTTACATGTTCTGTTACTTAGTGGAGTGGTTTTGTGAAAACATGTGGGTAATAAATAGCATTCTTGTGTGTTGCTGGCACAATTTGAAAGCTTTTTCTTCTGCCAAATCCAACTGAGGTGTGCAATCTGAAGCATTAGCCAATGATTTGCACATCTAATTATTTTACAGATCATCTAGTGAACATGGAAAGAGTTTGGGCATATTCCAGAATGACATTTTACATTCTTTCCCCTCACTAGAAGATCTCTGCTAACCTGATGCTTCCCAAACTAAGGCAAATAGCCCTTCTCCTGAAGTGACAGGAGCACAACAGAGAAGACCATGTTCTCTGAGGGCTGTGCCAGACTTGAAAGTATTTCCATTGTGGTCAGGGATGTGAAAAAAAAGCACAATCCCCATCTCAGCAGTCAGCAATTGTTTAGGACGAGTGTGTCTGGCTACCTTTTTATTTTTGCAGTTTATTCCTGATAGTAAAAACTTAGCAGGAGCCAGGAGGTGCTGGCTTCTTGTGGTCTCAGTGCCCCCTGTGACCTGTTCAGCATCACCTCATGTCTGCAGGAGGTGACTTCTTCTGGCTCTTGTTGAGGCTGCACTTGTGGAGCCTCTCTCAGGAAACACAGATCCCGATGTCCCGTGCTGTACCTGCACTCCCTGGATGCCATTCCAAATCCCCTGAGAGAGCCTTTGGCAGCTTGCAGGAGGTGACTAACTCCAACCCTAATTGACAAAAGTAGTGCTGGCACAAGATGCAGTGTAGATGTGATTATCTTGATAAAAATTCCTCATGTTAGCACCAGTCGTTCTGTTCAGCGACCTGATGCAGCCTATCCTAGTTAAAGTCTTTGTGTCTGAAATGAAGCCACAACAAAAAACTAAGCTGTCAGGAGCTGGTTTTGTCTGTGCCATCTTGAATTACAGATCTTCCTACAATACATATTTGGATGGTGTATGAAATAGCCATTCAAACCTGATGGGAAGACATGGGGAAAGGATTCGGTCCTGCAGCAAGCAAAGCCCTGGGACGTTTCCCCTGGGAGGGGAACAGGAGGAGCATCAGCACAGAAGGAGCTTCTGCTTGGGCACCAGGCCATACCACAGGAGCTTCTGGTCATACAAAGGCACAGGGGACAGTGCGACCTCCCAGAATGTTGGTCATAACACGTGCACATTGTTCATAACAGCCAGGCTTGCAAATTCAGAGGGCAGTCTGAAAACTAACCAACCTGCTCACTGTCTGCCTCATGCACCAGAAAAAAACACTCTGCCACTGGAAAACAGCTCAGAATTACGATGAGGTACAAGCCAAAATAGAAATGAGCTCATTCTCCCCTATCTCTGTTGGCCTTCTATTGCAAACAGGAGCTAAGAGTCCCGAAAAAATTCCTTCAGCAGTATGACTTTGAGCCCACACACAAAGAAAAGTTCTGCTCAGAAAGTACTGCTATTTTTAGTTGTTTTTCAAATGAAAACTATCCTAAGCCCCAAACTCCAGTCTCCTCTGCTCCATTTAACTTTCCTTAAAACTATTTGCTGGCAAATGTTTCTATGTGGAATAGAGGTGAGCTTCATACCTGAAATTTCTTCCCTTTTTTCCCTCCCTTCACATCAGTCTGAAAATCAATCAATCTGCCTTCACATAGTGCAGCGAACAGGTGCCAAGATCTAGGTATCTGAAGGGCCCATTCATCTAACAGAGAGTATGTGAGCTCTCAATGTCTGCATGATGCACCTGCTTTTAGCTCTTTTGAGACTAGCATGAAAAACTGTCTAGGGAAAAAAATATTGAAATGAGAAGGATGCAGCCCTCTTCTAGGCAGCTCATCTCTTCCCATCCTGGGCACCTTCCCCTTCAGCAACCTCTCAGAGGCTTTGCAGAGGGTGTCACACAAGATTATTAACATTTATCAGAGAATTCATCCTCATTGGAAAACAGTATCTAGATGCAATTTAGCATCTGACTGTAGCCTAGTCTTGAATTTGTAGGCCAGTTTTGTTTCCTGTCTGCTGCTTGGCACACTCCTTGTGGGGTGGGAAACGGGGGCAGAAAACAAGGGGGCAGAAAACAAGAGGGCAGGTCCTCATGCTGTGTGCAGCTTCACTGATGTTCCTGGAGCTCCATGTGGGCTGGTATGTGAACCCAGTCAGGGGTCCAGAGATGCTCTTACTAGTACGTAGCAAGAAATGGCTGTGTTATCTGTCCCTTTTGTTGTTTCAGTGATGTTTAGGTGAAAATTATTTGCTCTCTTACCAGTGCATCACATCCCTCAGACTTGCTCTGCCTGCAGCACTTGCCCTTTTCTCCCTTCCCTGCCCACCCCAACTTCCTTTATGTCTTCTTCCCAGTTACTTTATTTCCCTCCCCACCTCCTTTTCCTCCTGCCCAGAGCTATCCCTGTGAGCATCCTGCTCTTTAGAGCTATCCCATGCCACAGCATCCCAGTGCCCTGCCTACTAGTATTCCAGATCTGTGAGGTGTGGTGGAGGGAAGAGGACAAGTCACTGAGCACAGCCCTTCTCCTGGGGCTCCTGTGTATGCAGGGTCCTGCATTTGCCAGCTGTTGGGGTTAGAGTGTTCCTAGGGTGATGAAAGTCAAGGCAATGCAGTGGCAGCACCCCTGGATGGGCTGGTATGGTGGGATTAGGCAGCACACCTCTGCTGGGGCTGCATCATGCACCAGCTCTGCAAATTCTCCTGTCCTCTGCATGTGAGGGAGCATCTCTTGGCCACCAAGGAAGCTCAGGCTGGCTGCAGCACCAGGGTCAGGCTTGCACACAAGCAGGGCTGGCACTTGCCTGCCCTGACTCTGGACACAGCCACCCACTCTGATCTCTGAGCAGTGGAGCCACCTGCTCTGATCCCTTCAAAACCACCATAAGAAACCACATTAGTAAATCTGGGGCTAGCAGTGGGATTGGTCATTAATGGGGATCCGATTTCTAAAACTAACAGTACACAATTTATCTGTTGTCTTTTCAGTTCCTAAGTTTATCCTCACAGCTGTCAACCCCCTCGTCACAGATAGCAAGGCTTCCGTTAAACAGAACGATGGTACGTACCATTAAAGAAGTGTGGTTTGCTGCTCTCCTTTGACTGAAACAGGGCATATTCGAGCTGCAGAGCTTGGTCTGAGGGAACTGGAACAAGGTCATGGAAACCCTGCTTGAACAGTGGAGGCAGCATGATGGGCCGGGAGCAGGGCAGGATTCATGCAAGGATGGTTCCGCTGTCACAGCACGGCTGTGAAGGAAACAGCCTTACCAGACCTACTCATACAGCTGGGGAGGGACTTTTTACAAGGGCTTGTAGCAAGAGGAGAAGGGGAAATGGGTTAAAACTGGTAGAGGGGAGATTTAGGTTAGATGATATGAGCAAATTCTTTGGTGTGAAGCTAGCGAGACACTGGCCCAGGTTGCCCAGGGAAGCTGTGGCTGCCCCATCCCTGGCAGTGTTCAAGGCCAGGTTGGATGGGGCTCTGAGCAACCTGGTCTAGTGGGAGGTGTCCCTGCCCATGCAGGGGGGTTGGAACTAGAACCAACTCAAATCATTCTATGATTCTGTGATAACCAATGTGCTGTCTTCTAACTTTGACTGAACCATGGGAAGAGTAAAAGTGAAAATGCAGTTGTTTCAGGGTGAAGGGATTTTTAACAGTTATGCCAACATCTGCTCTTCTTAAAGGCAAATCAAATTAACAATGTGGCTAATGTATATTCACTGTCATCAGTAACAGGAGTGTACTGCAGTGATTAGACTGAGAAGCCCATTTGAGAGTTGTGAAGCTTAGTGGAATTAAATTATTTCAGAAAGCTTAATGGGAATAGGCAAGGGGTTACACTTGGCACTAGATTATTTTAAATAATTGTGCTGTTTTCTAGATATTTAATACTTTTAATGCTTTGTTATTTATGCTTTATTTCAGTTTTATCAAACACTGTTTGCTCTAATATACAGCACAGTACTGGCCTGCCTGTGTTTTAGACAGGCTTGGTTGTTCAGAAGTTATTGGGTGAGCATCAGTTCAGTAGCTTCATCATCTGTGATATGACTGAATTTGCTTTCTTTCCTCATGTCCCAGGTGTCAAACCTGATCCAAAGGAATCAAGACTTCCAAAGAAAGATGACATTTTCGTTAGTGACTCCTTGGCTACATTTGCATACATCAGAGGTAGGAAAATGAAGCTGAGAATGTTTGGTTCATCAGATTGTGACATTTCAGGAAAAGGGAGGACCGCCTCAGAAAGTCACAACTGGTAATCCCATGTTTATAGTAACAGTATTATTACAATATAATCACCATCTTGTGGTTGGGACAATCGCAGCATAATTGATATTTATAGAATATTTTCCATCTTGAAGGATCCAAACTCTTTCAGAGACTGAAGCCAAGATATTTTTTTTAAATGAATATTTTCAATGGGGAGTGTTGGTTGTTTGGTATTTTTGAAAACCTGGTCCTGATCTGGGAGCAGCACTGGAGACATCCATTTTTGGAAATGTTGGTTTGCATACATTGGATCATCAAGGAACAGTAAAAAAACCCCAAACAAACACCAACCCAAACCCAGCCATTTCTGGTAGGGGACGTGGCGGGTTTTGTGACTTAGCAACACTAAGGCAAATAAATTCATCATCACCAGCTCTGTAACACCCTAGGAGAAGTCCTGAATTTTGGAAGCAAGCAAAGGCTGCTGTTGAGAAGCAGTTCTGGAGCCAAGAGTGCTGCTCTTCTGGAGAATGGCAAGAACCATGCAGCTGTCAAGCATCATTCCACGGCCTGTGCAAGGGCCTCCCCAGCCAGCATGAAGGGCAGCCACAGGCTGCCAGCACAGCAAGGTGGACTGTGCCTGCCACAGCACCCAGCTGCCCCCAGAAGCTCTCTCCACACCCCCAGACCCCACCACCCTTGTGTCTGTCCAGTAACCCTGAGCAGCCAGGGCTGGGCTTGGTTTTACAGTCCCTTGAGAAAGGCTGTTTTCATGTCTGTCTCTCTTGTTACTATACTGAGAAGTGATCTCAGATTCTGTCAAGGAAGAAAAATGCTCCCTACCCTGCCTGGCCTGGATGCTGCCATGGTTTTGTGGAGCCATAGCTGCTCTTCCCATGCCCCCTCTTCAGGAGAGTAAGGCCTGTTTTGGCAGGGTGGCTGGAAAAAAACAACAAGGGTATGCTTCAAGGGTAGCTGGTTGAGAATGCTAGCAAGCTGCTAATAAAAGGATGGGATAATGTTGTTACTTCATAATGTTATTAAGAAGCAGGGATTTTTTTGCACAGTAATTTGAAGAGGCAGAGATGGCAAGTGTGCAGACTGCATGTGCAGGGGGGGTTGGAACGGGTCAAAAAAACCTCTCTTCAGCCCCCTGCCCCCCAGGCACACCCCACCACCGTGGCTACATCCTGTGGGCTGCTTCAGATATGGCAGCTGCTTGTTTTTGCAGCTTGGCTTTGGCAGAGTTGGTCAAGTGTTTAAGCAGTGGCTTTCTGATTTCAGATCACCTTGAAAGAGCTGCTCTTCTGTTTATGTCCAGCGTTTGTGTGGGATTAGTCTTCATGCTGTGTGCTTTGGTGTTCCGCGTGCCCTGCTCCAGGGACTTGCAGAAATTGCACAGAGAGAAGGATCACTTGGTGCCACAAAGTGATGAAGCATACAAGAGCAGTGAAAATGAGGAGGAGGAGGATTCCTCTGATTCGGATGCCCAGGATGAGGTATCAGGACTTTACAGACCTTCTTACTCAGGTTACAGTTCCACAGAGGCAGCAGAACTGGCTGAAAGGATAGAGCGCAGGGAGCAGATCATACAAGAAATTTGGATGAACAGTGGTTTGGATATGACACCTCCTAGAAATATGAATACATTTTATATTAATGAACAATAAATGGCTTATTTTGGATGATGCCCTAGCCCTTTTTTTTAAAAAAAGAAATGTACCTTCTGTGAAGGAACATTTGTATCAGTGCATATAATTATTTGTAAAGTAAGAAAAAAATATATTCAATAAAAGAGTTTCAAACCCTTGACTGTCCATAAATCATTCTGTGAAAAACACTTTAACAAGCTTTCATAGTTTTAAGTTATGTTGTGGATTAATTTTCACTGTAATATGGGATTGATTGCCATATGTATGTTAAGGAATATTAAAAAAAGGACAAAAACATTTAAGGAGCATATAATGGAAAAACACCTATAGTAGGACATGATGCTTTGTAACCACTTAGTGTGTTGTGGCTCATAAATTACAAAAGAAAGTTCTCTACTGAAGAGAAAGCAAAATGAAACCCAGCTTTTCTGCTGTTTCCTTCACGTAACCTTTCCCTAATAAATCCCATTTCTGCAGTAACAGTGATACAAATTACAAGGGAGCTAAATTCTGCTCACTTAAATCCAGCTGATGCAATTACTTAAGAGAATGACAGTAAAGAAGGGTCCCTTCCCTGGGCTTGAAGATCTGGAAACTCAGCTGGAAAGTGGTATTTCTATGAAATTTCACGTGTATTTCACAGTTTGAGAATTTGTTTCCTTGGTAGCAGCCCTCTTGGTGTTAACATAATGGCACATGAAGCCAGGCAGACTTCAGCATGCAGAGATTTCACAATCCCTCTCAGAGTCTAGAGCTTCTCTTGTAAAGCACATAGCCAGCAGATAAGGCTTGCCCTGGGGAGCAAAGCACTGCTGAAGAATCAACATCAAGGCAAAAATCAACCTGCATGCAAGACATTCAGTGTCCTGTTGTTAAGGAAAAGTTCACCATTTGACCATCAGAAGGTGTCTGCCAGAGATGTCATTCTGCTGCTACCCTTGCTGGCAAACTTGTGAAGCACAAGCTCAAAAACAGCTGCTTTCATAAAAGACTCTTGAAGCTGGTATGTACTACGAAAACTTGCTACCCAGGTGAAACACTGTACTAATTTTTCTGATATTAAATCATGGTTTAGAGTCAGCACTTGACTGAAGGTTAAATTCTCAAGCTTTTTAAAATAAATTTATTATCTTCACTTGAAAATTGTTTAGACTAGTCAGGTTTGGTTTCAGTCAGACAGAAAATTAAATCAGAAATGTATCTAAGTTGAAAACACAACCTTCCTGTCTTTAAATAAAATGTCTCCGATATTTTAACTGCAGTCCATAGGGAATGTAATGAACAAAAGGAGGAAAAATGTCACTTCCTATTGCTAATACTTCATGAGTTCATTGTGCTTTCCCACTCAGACGTTGTGTGTCTAAGTAGACTGAAGTGGTATGAAACCCTCAGAAAGAAAAAAAGGTGACATGACTTGTCTTTTCCTTCTGATACAAAGTTGGATTAAGCATGGGAAAACTTTAAAGGGAGGAAGAGGGCTTGCTCAGATGACTAAGGCACAATCCCGTGCTCAACTGGAAAAATCTCAGCAGTGATTAGCATCCTATCAGCGGAAGGAAGAGAGGCTGAAGAGAGGGACGGAGAGCTGAGGTCACCCATGGCACTGGGAAACTGCATGAAAGGCACAGCACAGCCCAGGAGCCTGGCTGCACGCCCACTAGGACTCAGCTTCCCCTTTTCCAGTCTAAAGTCACCACAGCCTGTGCCACTGCACGTTATTGATCAATAGCTTTTGGTCCAGAAACACTCTATACCTTTGTCCTCAGAGTGGAAGAAGGCAGGTTGTCACGATCCGTGACCTATTATATCTCCTTATTGGAGTGTATTAACTTATCAGGATTTGCTGAGAGATCCACACGTGGGTATCGCCTCACACAGAGACTACAGGAACTTATGTCCTGACTTTTTTGAGTGAATAACTCGCTCAGTGCTTACTAAATTTCTAACAACAGCAAGGTTTATTGTGGGGAAAACAAAGCAATTTGGGGCAGGAGGTTCAAAAGGAGTGATTACAACACATTAAACATATATGGGTACACCTTAGTTACACATCTTATCCACGTGAGGGAAGCAGAGGGGAGGGATTTGCCCGAATGGCTGGATTATATTTTCCCCTATAAGCTGGGGTAGCCGGAATTGTCTCACCACGGCAGTGCAGGTTCGATGAGCTGGTAGCAAAGAGGCTGCGGGCACTCCAAGCGCAGGTCGCC